TCAGAACGTTACTTACTATTCAAACAGATCGTTATAAAATGCAAACAGTTCGCAAGATGGCACCTATAATAATTTTCATTAAAACCTCCGTAGTTAATTACCTGACGCTCCTTGGAGAGTATCAATGTCGTATGATTCTAGAAGTGATAATAATTTGCGATAAAATATCATAGTCATTTCTTTTTTCAATCAACGAGGCGACGGATTATCTGATGGTAAGCAATCGTCGCCGCCCATGGACACTTATAACATCAGAGGAGTTACGAGTGCGTTGCTGGCATTTTCGAGATTAAGTAAGGTAATGTCACTCACACAGCGAAACACAATGGGTATGGTTTTTTCACACCGGTATTCTGTGAGGCCGTAGTATTACTCATACGAGTTCCCTATCCTTTAAATCACTAATAACCTCCTTAGGTACTACGAGTCTCCATAAGCAGTGCTGATTGCTTACCATCAGGAAACTTGCCTTCTATTTTGCCGACGTATGATACAAAAAATCTATCGCATCGTGGTAAATAGTTTGTCAATTTGAAAAAAAAACAATGTTAACAAGTGTACCTATTCATATTTTTTTCTGCACGTACGTAGACTGAAAGTGGAATGTAGACGTTTCCAGTGAATCTGTAGCATCATTTAAGTCTTAGGATGGTGGAAATTCATTAAAATTTCTCATTGAGTGTCTCACAGCAAGGAACGTCAACCGTGTTGCTTCCCGCTGCAGCCAGACAAACGTTGCTCGGGAATCCAGAACAATCCAGAATATTTATATTCCACTATTGTTACTATAACTTTTAAATATGGTACCGCGAAAACTTTTATGTTGTGGCCCGTAGGTTAAGGCATCCCCTGCTAATATGGTTTCGAAACCTGGCAATGTGACTTTTTCCCAGTTAGGTAAGTACTTTCTATGATTATTTAGACACCACTGACATATGGTAAAGGTCAAATCGTGAGGAAACCTGGACTTATAATTTCTAATTAGAAGTTTGAAATCGCTAGCGTTGTGAATAATGCTCGAACCTTCTCCGTGCGAGAAGACGCCTTTGCTCAGCAGTGGGCTAATGATAATATGGTGTATGATGTGATGTGAAAACGTTTCTTATTTTGATGATGCCTGTCATTCTTATGTGTAAGTTATTTATTTCAAATAGACCATTTCAGACACTTTTAAAAGTCAAACCAAAAAAAAACAATTCAAAACGCTTAAAATTATTAGTGTCAGTCTATCGGTCTGTTCATCGTAAAGCTATTTGTTTATCCCAAAGAGTGTAATCCAAAGGAAAAGAACGAGCAAGTATTCCATGGTTATTATTTTCCAACCAGTTTCACATTTCATTTCTCTGTGACATCATTTAGTCGTTCCAATATGAAAGTCAAAAATCATTTATTCCAATTAGACCCTTATAGGCACTTTTGAACGTCAAACAAAATTTTGAAGATATAGTGTCAGTCTGTCGGTCAGTCCTCTTAGTGAAGCTATTTGCTCGTTCCAAAGTGTAGATTCCGATGGAGAAGAACGAGCAAGAAACTCCATGGTTACTCTTTTTAAATCAGTTTCACCTATGTTCAGATTCCTTATATAAACAGTTGGTTCAATTGTATGAGAACAGGGTAACACTAATATTTATCCAGAGAAATATAAAAAGAAAACACCTTAAGGTCAATAGACAGTCCGGAGCTGACCAGTCCCAACTGACGGCAACCGTTCACGAACATGACACGCACACCAGCATCGCCCAAATCATACATACAGAACAGTGCATACACAAAAAACAGTGTAATACTAATAACTTATCTATCCTTATCGTTTAAGTAATTTGATCATTTTATACAAAAAGGCATGAGAAGTCTCCTCTCTCCCTTACTCTCTCTAACTTAATAAAAAACCGTTGACCTCAGATGTAATGAATAGTCACAAAAACAATTAACAAGCAAATCAAACTAAACCCCAAGATAAGAAATCCAAATTCAACCACATATATGTATTTACACAGGCACAAGTAAATACCTACAACAAGTATTTACCAAAGTTTATTATATTTCCAACTTTATCATTCAGTGACAGAGTCGATTATCGATTGAAGAGATGGGTCCCTTTAGGGTAGCTTCATATGCTTGTAGTCGTACTCAGAATAATATGACGGACTTCATTTATTTCAGTTTTGTTTCTATTGTCCTGATTGGCTCATGGAAACATATACTAACCATTCTAGAGGATGATAATGTAATTTGAGTATGTGTGGTGTTTCATTTTATTAGATACTAGCTACTCTCGCGCTGTTTCACCCGCTGCTCAGCTCCATTTGATCGTAGCGTGATGTTTTATAGCCTATAGCACTAGGGAACATTGTAGCTATCTATCAGTGAAAGAATTTTAGCAATCCGACCAGCGGTTCCAAAGATTACCCCCTACATACAAACTTACAAATTTTACCTCTTTATAATATTAATAGTATACATTTCGTGTCACGTGTTTGTCCGCGATAAACTCCTAAACTACTAAACCGATTTCAAATTTGATTTGCATTCCGTGTGCAATTTGATCCAACTTGAAAGATAGGATAGCTTACATCTCAATTTATGGTCACAATATTATTTACCTTAGCCACAGCAAACGTGTGGCTGGGTCTACTAGTTGTACAATAAAATAAGTGTGGGAGTGCCATGTTTCGGCACGAATGGGCCAGCTTGACCGGTGTTATACAACGGCCTCACAGAAAACCGGCGTGAAGCAACACTTAGGTCGTGTTTCCTTGTTTGAATGAAGTTACCGGAGGTTCCCCTATCCTTAAATCCCTCAAGACGTCGGCAACGCGTTTTTAGTAACTCCTTTGGTATTATGAGAGTCCATGGGCTGCGGTGAATGCTTACCATCAGGTAATCCGTCAGCAAAAACAAAAATTGCATCAATATTGTCCAACGTTAGGCCATAGAGTTGAAATTTTACTGAAAATTGTGCAAGTTATAATAACAAGTGGACGAGTATATTTACGAATAGCATACTATTGCGCAACATTATGTAATATAACAATTATATGAAGGTAGACAAATATTACGTATTTTTTTTAAGTGCCTCCTACACTTAAAACCTGATGAACCTTAACAATCTATACTAATATTATATAGAGGTAAAATGTGTAAGTTTGTACGTTTCGCTATTGGTTGAAAAATGTTATTACACTGTAGATGATTTTTTAAACGATAATACTATTTAGTTGTATTTCTAAATTTCTGATGGCTTTATCTTTGTTTTTATTTTTTGTATATTTTTGTTTTTGTAATCTTATTTTTCCATGACATGTCCTTTGTATGACATTTTTATTTCATCTAATTTATGACATTTTAATTGTCAAATATGAATATTGACATTGTTTTCTTGATTGAATTGATGACATTATAATTTGAATCCACTTATATTACATTAAATGTGTTGATAGAATTTTGAATGTATTAAATTTTCTTCAAATAATTTTGTGTGTTTTATAATTTTATAATTTGCATGCCTCAGTGCGGAATGTGTCTACCAACGTGGAAACTGTATCTACCAACAACTTAATTTACCCATATTAGCAAATAAATGATTTGATTTGATTCGTAAGTTTGTATGTAGGGGGTAATCTTTGGAACCGCTGGTCAAATTGCCAAAATTTCGTTCACTGATAGATAGCTACAATGTCCCTGAATTCTATAGGCTATAAAACATCACGCTACGATTACATGGAGCCGAGCAGCGGATGAAACCGCGCGAGAATAGCTAGTAGTTACTTACAACAAAAAAGTATTGGCAAAATTGGTCAAGGTGTCATGCGCTTACCAACATATTTTAAGATTAATTTATATATATATATATGTATATAGATTGAACATAACAATAATGGCGGTTCTCACTCTTTTTTTCCCATACAATATACTTTTTGGAACATGCGCCAAATTGAAGTGCGACTCTATTAAAATAATTCAAAATTGTAGTTCAATTGGAATAAATGATGTGACTTTGACGTCATAATATAACAAAACGTAGCTTCTACTAATTTTCTGTCGAAATAATGATTTTCCGGTCATTGAACTTTTTATTGTTGGCTATTAGGTACCGACCAACTCTTTGGAAGAGCTAGGGTTGGTAAAGTTATTATATTAATAAAACTACCAATTTTCTACACTTGATGGAGCTGGTGTGGGACCTCTTGTCTTTTGACCAATGGGAAATCGGCTAGTGTCTGATTGGGCATGGTTAAATGACTGCAGTTAATGCGGGGGCTAGACAACCGGCTGCCGTGTGACGTGCTGCGGGTTCGATTCCCGAAACTAAAACAAGAGCTGTGTGTGATCCACAAATTGTTGTTTCGATGTGTGATGAGTATTTGAAATTGTATGGATGTAAACGCAACGTTTTGCATGATAAAAAGATATCTGTTATTGTATTAATTGATTGCCGAGTCTTGGGTTTGATTTCTGAGTACAGCAACATACCACGGGGTCAATCTAGTTCGATTTTCCAGAACACTACCACATACTAATTATAAAATGTTTCTAGTTATCTTTATAAAATAATTACTTACGCTGTTTGATGTAAAAACATTATGACGTCATAAATTGCGATATAATTCAAAATTTATAGAAAAGTATCGTTTTTGTGCTTCTAATAAAACTATTGAATTTGAATAGTTGGTAACTATTAAGTTCTACCATTTTTCAACTAGTTGCAATTTTCTGTAACCTGGGAAATCTACATGCATTGATAAGCTATAACTTATTTTAACTTTAATCATAAAACTATGTCGACATCTCCCACTATTTTCTATGAAACAGACAGCAAACAGCCGTCTTTTTACATTTTATGTGACACGTGATTTAGTTAAAGAGAAAATTTCAACATTTTCATGAAAAGTTTCGTCAGAAAATTTCAGTGCAACCCTATTGGGTGGGAATTTCGCAACATTGCGTCAGTTTAAACAATAAAAGGGAGATTTGATTCGCCAGGTCAGACATTCAAGTACATTCGATTAAAGCAAGAACATTGCAGAAAATATCTGAAGATGAGAGGCCATATAGACCCACCACCTTTTCAAGGCCTTCATTTTGAATCGGGGATGCCTCCTCCATTCGGCTTCTGCAGAGGCCCAGATTTCCATGGCGCTCATCGTAGACCTGGTTTCGGGCCATTTGGACACGAAGAGTGTACTGAACACCAGCATCCTAGACAAAGACATGGTCCACGTGAAGGTGGGAGATGTGGTGGCTGCAGCTGTGATTCTGATGAAGAGGAACGTTGCTGTGGACCTAGAAACTTCAGACGACGCCCTGGTGGTAGACCTGACTTCATGTTTGGACCATTTGGTCCTGGACGCCATTGTCATCGATTTGGGCCTTGGGGAGGTCCTTGGAATGGACCTTGGAGAGGCCTGTGGTGTCCTGGCCACCGCCACCCCTGGGCTGGTCGCTTTGCGCCGTACCCATGGTGTAACCATATGAATGAGAGTATCTACGACAGGTCAGAACACCAACGGTGCAAAAAGAATGACACTGAAAAATGCTGTGAAAATAAACCTTGCTGCAGTGGTAATAAGGACAAACGTAGAGGAAAGGACAATGCACCCTGCAGCGATACGGATAAAGATCAAAATACAGTGTTCGTGCAAAGGATTGTTTTGGAGAAATCTGCAAGACCACAGAGTGTTTGAAGCTATACTAATAGGTACTATATTTATGTATGTATATTTGTATATCAATTTTATACTAAATTTCTTATTCAAAATTAAACCTTAAGAAGATTAAACAAAGATTAGATTTCGTTATTGGAACCCCCATACACTTTTAACTAATCTTATCAATCACTATCGGACACTGTTTAAACAACATAAGATTGTATATTGTGTTAATGTTATCACTCGAACAAAACAATTTAATGATAAATGAATGATGAAAATTATCGACAACTTATATAAGCATTAAAGCCTATTGCAGTTATATCTAATTTTAACTGTATTTAAGACTAATATGCACTTAAATGTATGATTATTTGTATTGAAATAAATTTATATAAAGACCCTTTATTTTTGTTGTTTTTTTATTTAACACAATGGTAAAACGAGCCTACCTTTTTAGAAATGCACTCGAATTATATCAATAGAAATTCTGTTGGTGAAGTCATAATAATTTGAATCGAATACGATACACCTAGTATTGTTTAAGAAAGCTGGATAAAAATGAACATGTTCTTTAAGTATCTATAATTCATCGAAAGACGATCTCTGGTCACTGTAAGGTCTGCGGACGGCGAGTAAGGGTAACTCGTCGCCCCACCAGAATCAGACCCGAGCGTACAGCGCGTAGCGATCTGCGCCCGCCTTAAAGAACCAATAGACCACCGCAGATGGGGCCATAGAGGACTGATGTTTTACTCAATACTCAATACTCAATATTTATCGCATTCCACAATGTGAACTTAGGTGGTAGGGTACATAAGGATTTACATAAATTAGTTTAGGAGCATTGTGGGCCCTATCGGGCATAACAATAAACAAATTTGTTTTCAGCCGGGGTTGCGGGGTAGGCGCAGTGAGGCACCGCGGCCTCGGCCTAAAGCAGAAGAAGGAACGGGGAGGTTATTTAGTCAGTAAGAGTCTGACACTCCCTCTCGCTTCACCCCGGGTGGGAGAAGACATTTGATGATTTTCCCCAACCAAAAAAATGGTACCTACAATATATAAAATTATATTAACGATTTTTTGTATATAAAAAAACGATTGGCTATGACTACTTACTAAAAAAAACCTTTACATTTACACAAAGCATGGGGCTACGTTTTTTTCTTTCTTTGAAGTCTCTAGTTTAGACATTGGAAAACAAGTATTGAACTTGACCAGTTTTTAGATATTACTGCCTGCTCCGTCTAAGGCCATTGCTAATGTAATGGCATTTCTTACAAACACAATATTTCAACATTTGTTAATTGATTAAATTAAATAGAATGGCCGAAGCCAATTACACTATTCAACTTATGAGTAGATTACTCGTATCTGAACACATTCGAGCGTCCTTCTCACAAAAGTTCAAACATTTTGACATTATTTATAGTATAATATTATAAAGAGGTAAAATTTGTAAGTTTGTATGTTTGTAAGTTTGTATGTAGGGGGTAATCTTTGGAACCACTGGTCGGATTGCCAAAATTCTTTCACTGATAGATAGCTGCAATGTTCCTGAGTGCTATAGGCTATAAAATATCACGCTACGATTAAATGGAGCCGAGCAACGGGTGAAACCGCGCGACCGTAGCTAGTCTAACATAAAAAGAAAATGTATGTTTATTGTAAACGGTTAACAATAAGGAGCGTTTGGTATACCGAATAAATGCTCAAAATAAACTACTTAAACGCACTATAATAATAAAAACAGAACTTAAGATAAGTATTCGTAATAATGTTTAAACATTAAGATTTGATACGAGACCCGATTTTTCAAACAAAATATAAAGAAGCAACTACTATACTGGTTTTGAAACTTGGTATTCATACTTTTTTTCTGACGGATTACCTGATGTTAAGCAATCAGCATCGTCCATGGACACCCGCAACACTAAAGCAGTTACGAGTGCGCGGTCGTTTTGGAATTATTTGGGGAAGAATTGAGGGAGGGCAAGGATTGGGCCTTTCGTTAACATCACTGATTCATTCACACGGTGAAATACAACGCTGTGGTTGTTTCACGCCGGTTTTCTGTGAGGCTAGCAGGTATTACTCCGGTCGAGCTTACCAATTCGTGCTGGCGCATCGCTCTTCCACATTGTCGAATATGTATCATGGTCTACCTCATAAATCTTATTTAAGTACATATTAAAAAAAAAAGAGTGTAGAAAGACAGCAAAAGCCTACTTCAAGTTTTTTTATTGGATAAGTCGGCAAACGAGCATGTTACCTGATGGTAAGCAATCACCGCCCATGTAAACCCGAATCACCTAAGACGTTACTAGTGCGGAGGGATGCGGTGAGGGGGAGGGGTTGGGCCTAACGGTAACCTCACTAACAATTGGCAACACAATCATGAAATCGGGAATAATATTTCAAAAATGTACACTTCTTTTTTAGTATGTTTGAAGATCTTGATGTATTGCGCATGAGTTGAAAGTTTCATTATAATCGGTATAGTAGTTTACAAGATATAGACTTAAAATTTTGTATGAAAACCTCGTACCGAGTAAACGCTTTCAACTGAAATTATTGTAACCAACTATTACAATAATTGTCTGTAATTCTGCTAATGTTCCTCTTTATTTTTATAGACAGAATCTTTGAGATTGTTTATTTTTTACTGTTATGGGCAGTTGATTTTATCTATTTATTTTTACACTGATATAGGTAATCATTGTAGTGTCTTACTAGTAATACCCTACGGTTTCACTCGCGTAGTTTATTGCTTATGTTCGCCGGGGGTAGTGTAGCTTACACTATCCCTGGCGCTATCTCCGAAATTACTTAACCGATTTGAAAAATTCTTTCTAATCAGTTAAGTAATTTCGTAGCCTGTTCAATTCAAACAAACAAACTATCAAAATTTTTATGTTTATAACATTATAAATAGTGGAGGTAATAAGGAATCGAATAGTAAATACGGTATATTTGGCGAAAAAGCATTGAACCAAAAATAATACTGTAAAATTAGGTTTTCAGCGCCATCTATCGATACCTACAAAGCTGCAAAACTAGTGCGTAGTGGACCTTCTTTTTATAAAAAAACGTTGATCACATTAGGATTTTCTCCTGTGTCGTGGGTGCGTTTACAAACATACAATGTCACATGCACATCACACCCAGACCCGGAACAACAATCTGTGGATCACACAAACAGTTGTTCCGTGCGGGAATCGAACCCGCGACACGTTGCGCGGCAGCTAGTTGCCCAGCCACCGCGCCAACTGTGCAGTCAAACCTTGAGAAAGAGTTATCATTTAAGGCGTATAGTACCCTCAATAACCTCAAGCATGCTAACGCACGCCTGGCACGGGCTGCGTTCGCCCGCTTTTTATATATGGAAATCCAATTAATATAACATGTTCTTTGTAAAATATTGACTGATTTACATGAGTGCTTCCCGCATTGTAGTATATATATATAACACCGACTGATCAATTAAAAAATAAATAAACCAAGCCATTTAGAAGGAATAGGCATTTATTTGAACAAAATAGCGCGTTGGTAAAATATTTTTTTACAGCTTAACTATTTGTCATAAGAAATTCAAATTTACTCACATTGTAGTACATGAATCTACAGTAAACATATATATTTTTTTAATCTTTACACCCAACCGTTAATGAGCAATAGGCTTTAAAATGTAACGTTTTTACGGCTTAAAAGGCGTGTAGTCTCTTAAAATGTGGTTGATAGATTGCTAGCCGAACTTTCCAGCAATGTGTCACAAACTATGTGCGTAGTACTCGCCGCATTTCACGGTATGTGAACACAGGACATGGACACCTAATTTAATGGTCGCTCTCTCAGCGTGCCTGTGTGTCACTCAAGCTCGCTACAATATGCCGTACTTGTGTGGTATTTCCACCGATACCAGATAATTTGCAACCGTCAATTTGTTTTTGAAAAATAAACCTAATGGGTATGACAACAAGGTGTGGAAATAGATTGAATTGCACCATCGGTTGGACAGTAAAAAAAAACATAAGACGCGTATTTTTGATTATGTCATATGACTAAACAATACTTAGATTAAACGAATTAAAGTTTAAGAGTGAATGAATGAAAGATGTAATGTTAGAATTAATCTAAAAGACAACCATATAAATAGGTCCTCATTCTTATTTTCAAGTACTTAGAGACGAAAAGCTAGGACACCGTCTCACAGAAGAATATAAGGTTTCATCATTAATGGTTTCATCATCATCATCATCATCATATCAGCCATAGGACTTTCACTGTTGAACATAGGCCTCCCCCGGTTGACTTCAAGATGGGCCGGTTGGAAGCGACCTACATCCAGCGGCTGAGTGGTTTATTGAAAATAAAAAATTCACTCGCGTGATGTAACTAAGAATGCTCTACTGGTTTCAAGTCACAGCGGGACTCTTATTCATAAGCAGCGTACGTCGCAGCGACGCAGTTAATTTATGTAAGTAAATAGATTATTATAATGTTTTCAATAATTTTGTATATCACACGATAGTTATTAGGTACACTATATTTTTCTTTGATTTTCAGGAAAAGGAATAGACAGAAAATAAGGGTTTATATATGTATCTATAATCTAGATTTTTTGCAAGAACTTTTAAAACTTCAGACTTCTAGGAAATAAAAGGCCTAGAGCAGGAGAAGACAGGGGTGGGACGGGTGTAGCCAGTCTGATACTCCCACTTGCCATCCCCTCTCCCTAAGCGAGAGAAGCCATTTAATGATTAACCCTCCACAAACAGTGTTGTTATCAGTTTTGTGGTAATGAAAATACACACGGGAAAAATAGAGAATATTTGTGGCCAATTATATATTATTCTACCGCCAAAAAGATATTAAACTTCATTGATTAAACCATTCATCATCATCAGCCTATAAGTGCCCACTGCTGAGCAAAGGCCTCTTCTCATACGGAGAAGGTCACCACGTTTGCTCAATGCGGGTTGGCGATTTCAAACCAAGGTTTCCTCACGATGTTTACCTTCACCGTATGTCAGTGGTGTCTAAATAATCATAGAAAGTACATATAACTCGGAAAATGTCACATTGCTACTTGCCAGGTTTCGAATACCCTCCGGGACGATTAAACTATTAAAGAAAATAAATTATATAAGATATTAAACTTCATTGGGTTTAAAAATTCTTTCGCTTGCAAATTCTTCCGCCCTTTATCACAAGGGCACGATCAAGAGTTGATACCTTAATTTCCTTCACAAAATACCAAGCTTACATCTAGTTTGTCTCAAACTTTATCAGATTCTGCTTCGTTGGGTAAATTTAAATATATGCTCTCAGAGTTTCCAAGTACAAACCAACGCAAGTCAAGCTACCCTAATCTGTTCAATTCTGTCGAGC